GTTTGTATCCTTGATATCGGTCAACTGTGGCTCGCTGTAAACTGTAGTACTCTTTAAGTCACGACAATTTAGAGGTGTGCAATATGGAAATTATAACGGAGTTATGCAAAAGACTTAAGCTAATGCACTTCGCCCGAATTTCACTGAAAGCCCGTAAACTTGTGTCACCCTCAAAGTTATCTACCTGATATATCCCAATATCCCTGGAATCTAGTGGGTTTTTAAAAAAGCTCTTCGGATTCTTATAAGCTCGGAATCGAAACTGATTTCCGCTTACAATTTCTGAAACCACTCCTGGTGTATTGCCTACCACAAAGGAATTGTCAGGGGGATATGAGCTTATTTTAAAGTTGGAAAACGTAGCAGTCTCCTTAGACACATTTACAGATACATTAGGAGTTATCTCTGATTTTGCAGAATCAGCTTCGACTAACCATCTTTTTCCTATGCGTTTACCTATCTGAACTGCTGGGTTATTGGGACCTTTGACTAGAGTCTGGAGAAAACGTATGTTAGATTCGAATGGGAAACATGAGAAAGTGTCCAGTGGTCCGTGCTGTTTCACGTCCTCACAAATATGAAGTAATCCATGGATATTGTATACCATGTTTTCCTCCCCAAATAATGACCTAAAGTTCCCAATGAATTTCAACAATAAACCCTTCACTTCATCTAGGTAATAGAAAGAATAAGCCGGGTGACTTAAGATGTAACATGCCAAGAATAAATCGAAGAAGTTCTCATAAAAGCAAGGTGTTAATACGTCTTTAAGGTATACCACTCCTAAATATAAAAGAAAAAGCCTACGCTCTGTTGCTTTCCAACGGTCAATGTCGTCTAATGTTCGACACTTACGCTGGAATTCGAAAGGAGTCAACTTGTGTGAGCTGAGTAGTCTGCAGTTAAAAGTGTTCAATATCGTAGTATGCATGCCATCTTCCCTAGATGTGGCCATCGATTTCCACAGGCCAATCAACTTTCGAACTACACCTAAGTATATGAGATGCATGCCATCTATAGGAAAAACAGTGATCATGTCTACATGCAATCTCTCGAAAGGCGATTTACCCTTATGGTGACATGGCAAAGTTTGGATGCGAAAAGACATATCTGTTCTTAAAGCAGCACATGTAGTAGGATAAACCATGCGATGATTAGCACGACGGCATAAAGCCTCACATTTATTGCATCCTTTTGTTGAATTGTGACCACTTATTTGCTTAACTAGTGCTCTTGCTGGTGCGTCACAGATGACGGCCTTAAGTACAATGTCTATGCGTTGATTGTTGGGTAATGTGACACCATTAGCACAAATGTTTTCTAATTCGACGATAGTGTCCCTCAAAAAACTGTATACTTAAAGGTTTGCACGAACCACAGTAGACTCCTACCAAGAATACCTTGTCACAGCCCGACAAAAGTAACTTCCCTTGTATTGGCCACATCTGTAATTTGGAGTTGTTGAAAATTGGGGCACCATCAATGTTCAGCTGAAGAGCAATTGGCACAGAGACTTTACATTTGACAATTTGTAACCGAGATAAAATCTGACGACGAAGACCAATGTGAACATGTATTCCAGGACCAACTGCTCTCCTTTCAAAAAAGTCTTTAGTCCTCATCAATGTCCGAGGGTCAATCGGCAGCTCACGAAGATGGGGCCTTAATTCTTCCAGCAAAATACGAGTATTGGTTATATTCAGCTTGCATCTGTAGACGACGTTGCGAACAGAATCCACTGGAGTGCACTCGGTTTGGTCAGCTTCCTCTGTTGCAGACAATTGTTCATTCGGTAAATGTTCATCCAATGACGGTGAAGGTGCCATGCTATTACAAGGAACATCAACTGGAACGATAATTTGTTGGGGAGTAACCATGTTTCCTGGCATTGTTTCAGGCTGTGGTTCACTTTCACGAATTTTTGCATATAATTCTGTGTACATTAATATGAAGGGACAAGCTTACCTTCTACATGCTTCTTCCAATCCAGATTGTACTTTTTGAGACGCCGATAGAATGTGGACTTATATCGTCCTAAGTCAAAATTGACTAGCACTGCATCTTCAAAGAAGATTGATTAATAAACTTACGTAGTCTAGAATTCTTCCGGCGGTATGGTTCGACATTAGCTGGTGGTCTGCTGTCATTTCGTGCATTAGTGATGCTTGACAGAGAACTCTTAGAGCTCATGTTATCTGGAAGAAATCGGAAAAACGGTTAAAAAACGGATTCCTGCAGTCTACACAACTTATACGCTATGCCTAATAATAAAAATGGACAGTACTGTTATAGTTGCAATATAAAACATATAACTATGCAAGTAATTACTTCGAAAACTTCGTAAAAAAGAAGGGTGACAAACAGGCGAACAACTCACAGCAATGGAAATAAAAATGGTGGATTCCGCCGCCTCGAAGGATTTCAGTGCAGTAAAAGATTTCTCAGGGAGTGGCCTTTGGTGATGTATTTAGATAGTAAAAGTACATTTAATTGATTGTTAATATTAAAAGAGTTTATTATTTTAAATGATGTATTATTAATCACTAATTAAGATTCATTGTAACGCAGTTCTCAAAAGTTAACTGTCATTGATTGAGGAAGTACATCTGGGTTACCCCCATTGGTTGATTTGTAGCGAATAACCGCTCATCAGGTTGCCCCGAAAAATCTGTAATGCGCCCGAAAATAATGCTAGCAGGTCAGTTTGCAGTTTGTTGAAAAAACGTACTTTTCCATTCAGAATATGTCGAATTACTTGAAGACACATGTTATAACGACCATTTCGTGAATTTTTTTGCATATTAATGCATTGCACATGGACACGATGAAGTGGGATAGCTCGTTTTGGTAATTATTTCATTTACTTTGTTGTGTACTTCTCCTATTGCTGACAAGGCTCCTCCACATGTATTTCTTTAAGGAAAAATCTGCAGAAATACTTAAAAATTATATGCGCATAGCATTTCCCTATTTTATGGCATAAACTTGACGTTTGCAGGCAGATGCAATATCGATTTTGTATTATTAAAAAATGTTTACTGACATAATTATATACAATTCAACTAATTATTTCGTCATTTCAAACATATTTCATGGTTAATTATTGTGTTTACCCTGAGAACAATGTCTATATCTGTATAATTTTTATGTTCTTTTTCAGATGATATCTACTTTCGGGAATTTCATGGATTTGTGTGATAAAGAAAAAGATACCTGCACTGTTTTCGATTTTGTATTACATGTTAATTCATTAATAAATGTATTCCTCGTTAATCGTTTGTTTATTAATAATAATAATTTTATTTCCGTAACAGAAACCAGCCATTTTTACAGGCATGAACATACGTACACTTATCGAAACTTATAGAATATATAATATGATTTGTTAATTTAGAAATAAGTTGAATACTGGTAAATGTGAGAGAAACATTTAAAATGAAGTGTACAAATAAGGACATAGATATAGCGTCAAATCTAAACTTTGATTGAAAAAAATACATGTCAATTTCACGCGGGAATCATAAGTGATTGCGTTAGTTGGGAAGGTAAGTAGCATTTCTGTACAGGTGCTGACGTGGTACATAAGAGATGCAGAATGAACAATAATTATCAGTAAATCATTCAGAAAGAGTTTTAAAGTCTATTAAATTTTATATTCACCTGTAAGTACACCATATTTGTGACATTCCAGTTGTTTATGAGACCCACTTTGAACTTGTCAGCAGATTTTATAATACCGATGATCCCGTTATTCACCAGATGAGCTAGCAATATCACGAATAAGTAGAGAATTGCAGCGCTGTATCAGTACCTTCGTTGAAAGCAGTATCTTTGAAAAGAGAAGAAGACACAAGAAAACCGGCAGACAGGTGCAGGAGTATATAAAGGTGTTAATAATTCAAAATATATAACAGGCATGGGCTCATCATTTTTTGCTGTTTTTTTCAAGAAATATTATTTTCCGATATTTTACAGTCTTTTCTGCAAACAATTAGTTTAAAGTGAAAGACAGGTGATAATTTCACCTACTTACGAGGTTTAAAAGGAGTTAAACACAAAAGTCAGAGTGCGTGAGCTATGTAAAAGAAAAGCGAGGGCTTAGTAATATATGTTTTTCTGAAGTATACAGTTCGGTGTCCTTCTGAAGTAGCGGACTCTTACCATTTACTTTCATTCGGAAGTTTGCGTTTAAACTTCGGCTCTAGGCAATTTTCAACTTCTATTTCTTTTTTCATTATTTTTTTAGTTTTTACTTTTTTATTTATTCTCATTTTGCGGAAGCCATCCGAACTCAGGAGCCTTAGCAATAGAGTGCTGTCCCACAGATAAAGGTGGTTCACATATGTCCCCACCATCATATCCGCTGACTAGCAGTCACCACCCTCCCACCTATTCTACTTGATAAGACCGAATATTAGCCCTTGCGTAATTTGTGAGGTATAGAGTATGGCTATCTTTGAAATACTAAGTAGGAGCAGATATTTGGAAAAGCCTATTGGTAAAAGATTATGTTGTAGTCAAATAAAGTAAATATGCCTACACCGTAGAGGAGGTCTTGCGATTATAAAGCGTTTCGAGTTATATATCGTCATAGCAGAATACGTAAACTGATTCCCGATTCATAGTCACCAATTGAGAATAAATCTACCTGAGATGGTTTACTTGTGATTTCTGCATGTCGCAATGTACCATAGGAAGAGACTATACCTATTCTGTTAGATGTATGACTCAGTGCAACTACGGTCATCGTAATAATTAAAAACAGAATTACTAGGGTTCTCAGCCAAAGAACACGATACGTTGCTATCTGCTCATATAATCACGTAAACAAAAGTCTTCCAGACGCCGCATTTACTCCTAACAGTTTACCCTCAACTTCTAACTTAGCACGTGCTACTTATGTTACTGGAACACAATCGCATTACAACAGAAGGAAGACATATTCACTGAAAAATTGTTTATTAAACAAAAATCAGATTTCAAATGTACGGATTATTCAGATGAGTAGTCCTCTGTTACCGTCAGTAAGTTCCATCTGCGTACACGGCACATGTATGTTTTTCCATAAGTCTGAAAAGGTTTAAGATTGGATGACCACCTGTTTAAGTCGACTTGTTTAGCTGAGGCTTCCGGTCAAGCATCCCCGCCATTTGGTACCCGTCGTGTACGTGCACATCACTAGCTAGCTAGCGTTCGTCTAACGGAATAATTGGCTTTGCTTTGTCTTTGGTACACGAGAATAAATTAATTAAAGTTGTTGAAAAAGCATAATTAACTTGGGTATTACATGTATGATCTGAATAAAAAATTTTCCTGATAAGCATTTACAAGTAATCACTTTACAAACAATATATATATGTATGTATAAGTAGCCCCATAGTTTTCACTAAACTTAAGGGACTTTGCAATTTATAGCTGGTCGATATCTAGTGGGTTTATCAAAGCATCATGAAATGATAAAATTATTTAACGACAAGTTATGCAGCAGTTTCCAAAGCTTGTACAAATATTTTAGCAAAAATGACAACAACTTTATGACAAATAATAGGTCATGACAGCAATAATAATAACATTCATGTTCAAGGAGGGAGGGTGGGGTTAGCTGATCAGTAGATATGGTGGGGGTCACTAAGGTGAATCGCCCCACTTTTCAGGAACAGCAATATGCAATTTGAAGGCTCGAGATATTTCCGATTTTTATGAGGGCTTAGATCTTGATCTTGAAAAAGATAATAATGAACGCCTAAACAGATCATGCTTCTGCCTTTAAATATATACCAATCGCTCAGCCTATTGTTGAGATGCGACCATGTGGGCTCTGCACAGATTTATGGGGCATCTTGGAAATTAACTTGCTATCCATTGTCAGATCTTTAAATACCAGTTCAAAATGTCTCATCTCATTTATTTTCTAATAACGTCTTTACTTGACCCTCATTATATTCCATTAAACCTAACATTTTATAGCTCTATATGAATTTGATTCGACTTACTCTATTCCTATTCTCTGTATGGTACGGTTGTGCACCAAATGCACAAAAAGGCATAAAATAAAAAAAACCGGCATAAGGAAAAATGTATTAAAACCAAAAGTGGACATCATGATAGTGCAAACTGTACAGGAAGCATTATACATTGCGAATGAACGTTGTCAGCCTAGGGAGTTTCCTTTATTAATGCATTTATTAGTGATACTTGCACTTGCCCATTTCATTACACTTTATTGGTTCACCTTAGCACTTTTACTTTTCTGAAACAGCTTTCAATCCCTTGTAAACGTTGTACTCACCTCAATATTGGTTGGTTATCGTATGCCTACAATCACGGGATGAAAACGAAATGAAGTGGATTTTCCGCTCAACCTGGAGGACAATTGTACAATTCAATAATTATACAGCCTAGTTCAGACAATGGGTGTATTTATATATATCAAATATTTAACTGTTGAAACATTATTAACTTGTAGACAATCTACGATTTGATATTATATCATACTTGATCGTGCCTGTAAAAATGGCATGCATTTTCATGTAAATTTATGTTTATATGAGAATATAAATTATTATTATTATAACGACTATAAAAACAATAATAGGCATCATTATCGCAACGAATTCATCATTAACTTAGATAGACGATTAACAATAATACAATCATATCAAATAAATGTATCACTTAATCTTAAGAAGCATGTGTTTACTTACTTTCACTGTATTTTCTCAATACTGATGTGCTCAACAAGCTTATCCCAACTGAATTTAAGATTAATTCTGAAAGTGAGTGGAGATCCAGTTTATGTCAAATAAAAACATGTAACTTACATGTATTACACTGCTTACTGAGACATCTTGTATCGGCTTTCCGATCTTCGTGACAAGAACACAGTTCATCTAGGTTTACCTACATATACAAAAGTATACGTATATGCTGCATCAACCATGCCGTTTTTATCATGATTAGCCAGACCACTGTGTGTATTGTACTTATTTAAGGGTCTCTGAAAATAATGGTCAAGCGATAATCGAAGTTGCGTGAAGTTATTACCTCTTCAGGACATTGTTTGCATTCTTGACACTCCTAAGAAGTCCTTAGATCGTAATTTGGCATGAATTCGTTGAATTCAGCAAATAAATCCACTGCTATATCATTTCTTTCCTGAGCTGTAATAATTTGTGTTGTCAATTATCTCTCCAATTTGATAAAACGCTCACGGAAATTCAGAACTTAACCAAGCAGCAAAATGATGTTTGAAATTACCTCAACTTGAATGACAAACTGGCCAATCACAAGCGAGCGAATCGCTTGTTTATCTCATTCGCGGTCACTCAAAATTACGTCCGTCGACAGGCTGCCCTACAGGGTAGAGGATAGAGGCACAAATCAGCTGATTGCTGCAGTTTTAAGGTGTTATCGTGGTGTTGTGTTTAGGCTATTCTACGCTGTTTTTAGTGGTTTTTTCGACAGAAATGCATTTTAAAAAGCATATTTTAACGAAAAAACGTGTAAAAAATGAGAAAAATAATTGTTTTTATTGTGTTGACGAAATGCTGTCTTTTCATCGAATTGACATCCCGAGATGCATAAGAAATGAAACAATTCATTGGAAAATGTCAATTATGATAGAAAATGCTAAGTAATTCTAATTTTTGAAGTTTATTTTACGTATATGATGAGAAGGGGGTTAAATGTCAAGGTAATAATGATTTCATGATTTTTACCAAATTGCACAGTAATAAAGGAAATTGAGTTGGTTATTTCGTCAGATAACGGTAAAGAGATAGTCATTTAACTAGTAGGTACTGTATTATTTGTTTACTTATTTAACTTATCACATCTTGACTGAATTTTTATTTTTAATTTTCAGGTTATGGTCTTCAATCCCGCAATCACTCAATACATTTAGGCATTCTAATTGGGATTAAAAACGATACTATTTGTGTAAATGATGAAATATTTGTGAAATTACTAATGTATTCATTGAAATAAATATTGTTTTAAAAATTTTGCTCTATTAATACTCAGTGTTTGTCGAGTTGCAAAGTGATGCCAGTGTAGAAGACTTAATATTCGTAAAATGGCATATTCACACGTTGCCGAATTTGGTCACGATGGGGTACTGTTATCGCTTTTGAGTAATTGCTTTCGCTAGTAAATCTTAAACAGGCGATATGCACAACAAAGGCCTATTTAATGCGTCACAGTGTTTCATGATAGCTAAATGATCAACGAAGTTTAGTGACGTAGTCAACTAATGCACGAGTCTAAGTGTTGGTGTGATCATGTAAGAGCCTTTTGATACGAAATGATAACACAAGAGGAGTAATGTAGTTTTCTCTTTATTACCTAATGATACCCTTTGAGATAGTGGTGTTAAACGCAACATAATAATAACAGAATATTTGTGATAAATGGGATATACGTTGCATTGTGTACTTGAAGTGCCTAGACTACTAATACAAGTTGTCTGCATATAGAACCTACGTTTGCTAGGTTATGTTTCGTTATTACAGTACGAACACATGTTTGACGGCTACTTTCTTAACAATCTTGAATATTAATCTTATACGCAACTGAAACACTTTACGCAAGGCTTGATGACGCAGTGAGGAAGTAATAACAGTTTATGACTGACGCATTTTACATAAGTATTAATACGTTGCCTATCATTCTCGTTAACTCTGCAATGTCCTCAAAATGACAAGTAAAAGAGACAAAGTTAGTTGACATTAATGCATATATTTGTAAGGAAACAATAATCAGTCAAGTTAAAAGTGACTCAGAATAAAAGAGTTAATATATACACTAAAAAAGTTAATAATAATCCAGTGAAAAAATCGCAGTTGTAGAGTTTTTTATAGCTGCATCATAGTCATCATAAAGTCCACCAAACACTATCCGCAACATCTGTGTCAGTTTGCCTCCGTTGTTAGTGGTGTTGGACCAGTCTTGGAGTTTTCGTCAACACCAGTTCCGTTCGCAGAAAGTGGATGTGAACTTTTCAAGCGGAGATTGAGATTGTATTCCTTCGAATGCCTTCGGCCGTATTGAGAAATATCTGAAGATGTATACATGTCAGGTAAATTATTCTTACCTTTGGTGAACAGTTCCTAAACTTAGCCACAGTGAATATGTGAACAAGGCAAGGAACAACCACAGAGTTGGTGAAATTCTACAGATTAGTCGTCCATATATTCAGATTCAGATTTTTTGTTTGAGGATAGAAGGCTTGCAGCCTATGTTAATCCTTTTCTAGTAGATTTCTGTGGTTGTCCAAACCCTTCTTGAACGAATCAGTTGAGGTTGCAGACACCACTTCTTCTGGGAGTCGGTTCCAAGAGTTTATGACTCGATGTGAGAACCAGTACTCAACAGCAATATGATTTCTCCTTGGCTTTTGAACTTTCCTGCTATGTCCTCTAAGGTGTTCCGACCTGGTGGGAAGGAAAAGAGAGAATAGGTCAGGTCCGTAGTCATTATTTAAAATTTTAAACATTGTGATTAAATCTCCTCTCTGCCTACGGTATGACAGTGAGAAGAGATTTAAACTATCTAGTCTTTCCTCGTATGATAAGTTAGCTATGCCGTGAACCATACGTGTTGCCTTCCTTTGAACACTTTCTAGAATGTGTGAATCCCCTTTTAGACACGGACTGGCGGCCTGGATGCAGTTTTCCAGTCTTGACCTAACCAGAGATGTGTATAAGGAGGTGAACATATCTCTGGTAATTCTTGTAAAGGCTCTGCGAATCGCCCATAAGGACCTGAAACTACGTGCAGCCACCGCGCGACAGTGTGCTGTAGTTTTTAAGTCGTGGCTAACTATGACACCTAAGTCCAAGTGAGTCTGAACTGATGGAAGTGTTATTCCCTCTAGTTCGTAGGAGCTTGTGCTTGCTTGTCCAATGCGCATGGTTGCACATTTTGCCACATTGATCGGGAGCATCCATTCAACAGACCACTCCGACAGTTTGTTGAGGTCCTCTTGCAACGTGAACGTATCACTGTTGCCCTTCAGCTCTCTCCAAATTTTTAAGTCATCTGCGTATAGGACCATAGGGGAGTCGGTGAGCAGAGGTAACTCATTGATATACAGAATAAAAAGGAGAGGACCGAGAACCGTGCCTTGTGGCACTCCGCTACTTACTGCTGTCCAGGAGGAGAGTTTTGAGTTGATCCTAACCCTCTGCCTCCTATCTATGAGGAATTCCCTGAGCCAGTCTAGTAGTCTGCCTTTGATACCAAGACTTTCCAATTTCATGAGTAGTCTTTTGTGAGGTACTTTATCAAAGGCTTTACTGAAGTCTATGAAGACGACGTCAACGGGTCTTCTGTTGTCCTTTGATTTGACCCAGCTTTCTCTTGCAGTCAGGAGATTTGACAGGCATGAGAGGTTCCTCCGGAAGCCATGCTGTGCTCCAGATAACAAGCTGCTATTTTCCAGATAAGCCATGATGCTTTTCTTGATAATTCTTTCCAGTGTCTTGATTAAAGTGCTGGTGAGACTGATAGGCCTGTAATTTGAAGGGCTTTGTCTTGATCCTCCTTTGTGTATGGGGGTTACTATGGCGTCTTTCCAATCACGTGGCAACACTCCATTTAGGAGAGATAGCTTGAAGATCGTGGTCAAGGGGCCGGCTATGTGGGCTGATAGCTCCTTGAGAAGCCTTGGATGAAGACTGTCAGGACCCATTGATTTTCCTGCATCTAGTTTCATTAAGAAGTTGAGCACGATGCCTTGGTCGATGTCAACGGAATCTATCCCATGTTCTTCTGATGCAGCCAGAGCTGATCCTATAGGCAGTGATGACTCCTGAGTGAAGACTTGGGAGAAGTAGTTTGCCATTGCTTCTGCTTTTTCTTGATCTTCTTCGATTGTATCTTTGTCAATAATCAGGTTTGGGACACCATTGGGTGTTTTATTCCTGAAATTCAAGTACGAGAAAATTTTCTTAGGTTGTGCCTTTGCATTTTGAGCCAGGTGTGTCTCGAACTTCATCCTTGATTGGCGGATTTCTGCGATAGCTTTATTTCTAGCAGTAGTATATAATTCCCTGGTCTCAGAAGTCTCAAGTGTTGCAAACAGGTTCCAACATTTGCGTTTACGTCTGAGTAACTTACGAATCTCCCGGTTTATCCAAGGGGGGAATGTTTCCGACCCTTTGGAACAGACCAAGGGATGAAGGGTACAGTTACTTGGGCGTAAAGTTGCTTAAATTGGTTCCATGCGGCTTCTACTTGGGACTCTGGATTGATGTACCAGTTTACTGAGTTGGCTGCTGAGACGATCGCATTTATGTCAGCTTTCCAAACGTTTGGTCGAGCTGGGGTTTTGGCCCTTGCTGCCGTTGCTGTGAACTTGAAAGTGAGCACAGCATGGTCACTTCTTCCTAACGGAGGAAGATGTTGTATGAGATCCACATCCTCACCGTGTGAGAACACTAGGTCCAGAGTTGACGAGGAGTGCTGTGAGTCATAGCGCGTGGGCTTAATGATATGTTGGACTAGGGCTAGCGATATACTAGATTCTAGCAGTTTATGATCAAGGAGTTGACTGAAGATGGAGTTGTTAGGCTCGACCAGTCAACTGTTGGGGCGTTGAAGTCACCGACTACGAGACTTCGACATTTTGAAGTCCAGGAGCCTAGCTTCTCTATTAGGAAGTCGTCTGCACTGCAGTCAGGACTGCGGTACACAGCAATGAGGTCAATGTCTTGGCCTATGCATTTAAGTCTGCAGCGTAGAAGTTCGCACGACTCACTTTCGTGGGCGAGTGCTTCGATACTACGCACGGTTAAGCCTTTCTTGAGGTAGATGACTACGCCCCCCCTTTGCGGTTTAGTCGGTCTACCCTGTGCACTTCGAAGTTTGGCAGGTTAACTTCGTTGTCAGTGACATCGGGTGTGAGCCATGTCTCTGTGATAATAATTACATCCGGGTTTCCGGTTTCTATCATGTTTGCCAGCTCAGTCCTTTTATTTAACAGGCTGCGGGCGTTTGTGTAGCAGACTGTTAATTCAGATTGGTGCTTCCCCGGCCCACCCACAGAGGTTTCGGGATCATTAAACTGCGAACTCGGACAACCCGAAAACCCTTAATCTTAAGGTTCTTCTCACCGTTCCGGCGTCGCTCACTTAATTCTAGTGCCGCAGCCTGTCTTTTGACACGGTCTGCTAGGCTTAAGTCAGCGCGGACATATATCCCTGATCCTTTGAGAATATGAGAGTTGCTTAGAATAGCATCCCTCTCTGCTTTAGAGTTTAGTACGACTTTGAGGAGACGTACAGGTTCACTTACTGTAGGGTCAGGCTTTTGACCTATTCTGTATACGCTGTGTATAGTAATGCCTGATACTGTTTGTGGCAGTAGCTTGTCTAAAAGGGGCTTGACCAAGTTAAGGTCATGCTCGAATCTGGTCTTAGGGTCGAGGGCCAGTGACTCCTCCACTTTGTGGAGAATGAGAGACCTGTCAGAGAGATCGGGTTTGCTTTCCGTGACTTTCTTGCCCTGAGGCGTAAGTGTGTTTCTATCCTTCTTGGGCGGTGTGGCCGAAGTGTTATCCTTATCTCGCTTTTTGCGAGAGACTACGGTGCGCCATTCATTGGCGTCCTCCTCGCTAATCGTAATGGGGTTCGTCTGTCTGCTGCTCACCGGTGTGGATGAGGCTTGTTCCGCCAGTCCCTGGGCGACTGGAGCTGCAGGTTTTCGACCCCTGGTACGCCTCTTCTTCACGGCAGTCTTTCCATTACTGTCACTGGAGGGCTCATCCAGTATCGTGGGGGCGACCTGGGTGTCTGGAATGTGGTGGGTGTTCTTCTGTGCTGTAGAGCACTCACTTATTGGCAAGGTCGCATCTGGGACATGTGCTGTTTTGTCAATGACGCTAGTCACGTCATCGCTATCTGAGCAATAGTCGGTATTCTTCTGTGGTGGAGGACGCTTGCAGTCCATGAGCTTTAAAGCCCCACTAAGAGTAGCTATGGCTTCTGTAATACGGAGTTTAGTTGTACTACAGCAGTCGTTGCACAACCAGTTTGCTAGAGGTTTGCAGCAGCTGCTGGAGTAAGGTTCGTGCACATACTGTGAAACCATCTCTTGCAGTTATCACACTGCATTCCCTCATCCACTGGAAACTGGCACATAGCCCTTCCGCAGCGGTTTCTTTTGATAGGCATTTTATTTAAAACAAACCAGGAAAAATTAAATACAACTTCAAATATATATATAACCTTTATAAATCAGTGATAAAAGCTAATGAGTGCACAAAGATAGATATATGTAGCTATTATGTTATAAGAACACAACTTCCTATAATTAATAGACTCAAATCTGAAACGTAAACTAACTTCGATCAGAATAAACTGATTTAAAGTTAAATCTGTGGACTTTTGGAGCGTATAACACAACAAAAGCCAATTATAAACAAGAGCGTGAAAATTAACTCCCTTTTCAAAGTTCGCGCCGGATTGATTCCACGATAGATTTCAGGAATCGTGTAACTTCAAAATCACCTGTCACACTTTCTCTTCTATAAAAAGCAAATATTATACAAGTGACTCTTATCCATCCGTTACAACTAACTGTAAGAGGTAAAATCTTCAAACTTTATACTTCTTTGATTAAGTTATCCAGTAGTATTCTCCTTGCAAGTGCATCTAATGCTTCTCACATCTGTGAAATTTATAAGCATGTTAACATGTTCCCTTAAGCTAAAAAATATAATGTTTATCCGCTTTTATTATTGCTATTTCAAAGCCCGCCTCAATAACGTAAGGCACGTATTAGCCGCAACGTTTACGCAAAGGAAAATCTACCAATCACAGTGTAAGTGACCTTCAAGTGCTCGCCTCTCCATAAGCCATTTGTCCCGCTATCCTCTATCGCCCTACAGGCTGCCGACAGGCTCCTCCGAACTGTTATAGCTCATCTCTCTCTGACTTCTGTCGAGACAAATGGTAATTATAGAGTGTTTTGGTTCGAGTCTGTGTTGTGCTTTTTCACATTTTACCCCAGCGTGCTTGAATTGTTATTGTCTGTGCTGTTCCACCACACTGCCGTTATTTTGAATGGACACGTGTTTATGACGCTTGATGAGTGTTACGATTCTGGTGGCAAAATCATATAGAATTCTCAGGAATTCGGGTAAGTAGACTATAATTTTGAATAAGGTACTCTGTGTCGGCTCCTCCACAGTTACGCAACTGGACTCCCAGTCGGCAGATGTACTTAGGTTCAGTAAGCAGATAGACAGTCTGTCTGTTGAGAGGTAGACAAACGGTTTCTAAAATAAAACAGGTTTCACAACTTCAAAAGCCTTACCCAATTTTTTTTTTACAAAGGAGAATGTTTGTTTTGGTTTCTTGATCCTGATTAACTTTGATGTCCTCATATGCACCACCGACTTTGAAACGGTGCTGCCTGCGTATTTAGGTAGAGATGAATTCCTTCAGATTTACCCTATTAACAATGGCGATTAGTGCTTGTTGTTTCTGTCGGTTGTCGTGTGTGTCAGCATTATCTTTATGTTCACTTGAAGTCGTGTCTTTTCTGCTTCTTCTGCCGATTTATTGGCTTAATCATGTAGACCCTCGAGTTTGTGTGACATTAGAAAGCAACTATTAACGAAGTCAATAACTTTTGGAGCCTTCTTCCTGGTGTGCTGTGTGCCCGTCACCGCCTCCTCTTGTTCTGTTGCACAATCCAATCGGCCACAATCAAGAAGACCATTGGTCATAATAGGACAACCTTGTCTTACTCATTCCTTTCTTCATTACAAAGCTTTTACTGAGATTTCTGTTGCGAATCACTTTTAATATGGCATCATCATGTAGAGCTGTTGAGTGAGGTCGTCTGTATGGGTTTGGGGTACTTCGTAGTCTTATGGCTGTTTCCAAATTACCTTACACTATCTCCAATCACCAAATCACTGAAGGCTCAAAACTCCTCAAAGAGTTCTCCTTTCTCATTGCATTTATATCAGCCATTAGGATTTTGATGTCACTATCTGTTTGCAATAATCTGCAGGGATGTTCTTCTCCACTTGGTCTGCGTTGTTTACAAGAGCGTAGGATGGGGTGATTATAAGTTTCCTACATTTTGACTTGAATCTTGGTTTTGTTATCCTAGAGGAGATTGATTCCCACTACATGAGGGCTTTCGATACTGTTTTTGACGTCACGATATCCACTCGCTCAGTGAGGTTGTGGTCATCGTCTGATTGATTATTTACTGTAGCCACGAACTTGGATAGACCACTTACATTCTATCTACTCTGATAGATTCCCAGCACTTCTAAACCACACCTTGTTTGCTTTGCAACATGAGCTGCCTTTCAATCAACCATCGTGCGGTCATTGTATGCGCTCATGTTTACCTTTGTTTTCATCGACAGAACACATCAGCTGATAGTCATCCTTAAAGCTTTCACACCATCATGTGTCATTTCGTCTTTCCGATTCCAATGGGGAGTGAGTTAATTTATTGACTTAGAGTTTCTGTAGCATTTGGATCGCCTTTTCGCTAACCTCACTCCCAACTTGTCCTCTTTTTTGGGGTTTAGAACAGGTTGGTTTTATTATTATGTTTTGCGTAGTGCAACTCTTGGTATCCATATAATACCTAGTTTGTGTTTAAATAAATGAATAATTCATTTTATTTTTCCCGGATTACATTTAGTAATAACATCTACACCTATGGAACGCAGTTTTCTAAATGCTCTGCAGTTTTTGAAAGATGAGGAGGTATGTTACTTTTATCATAATTCACTTGTATGAATTTAGAAAGAAGATGAATCGAACTGTGAAGATAGACAGTCAGACTTTATGTTAGCTGCATGTGTTGATGGCTTTGATGAAAGTGGGACGGGGATTACATCTCTGGATTATTTCGTCTATATATGGAATCTTTTCAATATGATGCCAATTGATAGCAATGATCCACTTCGTATTGAATCTGTTGAAGTAGAAAAGAAGCACTTATTTCAATGTTTTAGTCGATTGAAATGTTTTCATGTTTGGCTCACAGTAAGTTCATCAGTTATACGAAAAGAGAAATATGATTTTTAAAACTTGGTTGACTATTGTTTAGTTTCGAAATTAGTAAAGAGTCTTTTCTTCATTCCTTTGCATTCCGAGTCAAATACAGGTCTTGAAGCTTTTGGCTTTGAACAGTGAGTAGCGTGAGTGTTTTTAATTTTTTGGGTTGAGGTCTCTAACCTAACGTTGAGCGAACAGGACCCATTAACGGTTGGTAAACTGAACAAGGTTTAGGAGTGCTTCGGAGGCCGGGAATCGAAGTTTAACCACATGTATGTTTGTGTGTGTTTGGCAAGTATGCTACCGTAGGACCACTGATACAAATGAAAAATATGGAAAGTTTTACAAATTTGCTTTTCATCTTGTGCAGAAGCCATGCTTATCTCCCCTTTATCGTCTTAACTTTAGTCCATATTACTACCTCAGCGAATAAAAATGTGTGCGTATATGTGGTTTAGTTGAGCATGGAGTATACGGTCAGTAAGTTCTGTAATTATTTGAAAGAGTCGAATGTTATCGGTGTGTATTTCATTTATTTTTGAAAGCTGCATTGTAGTGGCGATTTCGTCAGAATCGAATACGTCAGGTGGAGAATCACTGATAACTACAGAGTACTGTTGTGGGACTCTCCAACAGATTATTAGACTATCCCGCTGGACTATACAGTCGCTGGAGTTAGATTCTAACTTTAGCAATGATATCAGTGAGTATCAATCAGTCTTTACAGCCAACTTGTTGGAGCCTACCAGCAGTAGGGAGTCAGTTCACAGCTCACTAGTGGTTAACACTGTGAGATAGGATTGTATAATGTTTCGCGGAAAGTCGTAAGCAGTGTGAGGGTCTACCGAAAATTAACTATGAGAACAGATAGTTATCGGTAGCATTATATATTATATGGTGGTGACGCTATATATCACGAATCGACAGAAGTTAGAATTCATGAACGGTTGAATCGTCACTGGACTTGTCTCATAGCCTGAAGGTTCTCAGTGGCTGAGTTTCCAGTGGTAGGGTCATAGTTGTACGCGCCGATGAAAAGTTTAGTGGTTCGTGGTTTTTAGTGATTCTCTAACTGGTCTAAATTTTTGAGAATTATTGTTTGGAATGAAAGTGTTATAATAATAATCATAATAATTTTGTACATATGCTTATGTGACTAACAAGATTTCTCCTTCCTCCAATGCGCTTCATTTTTATTTTCTGCCTTCTCTTGTAGAAAAATCCTCCTAATATTCGTGGAAGTGATGTCAAGTCATTGGTGTTATTCTTTGAAGAATTTCTTAAATATACATTTCTTACTAAAACGAGTCTAGAACCACATTATATGGAGTCGGTATCATGTTTAATATTACTATCATGGTGGAATATTGGATTTCGTTCTTGTTCAATACTTTATCGTATCATTGATTATGAATTATTTGGTTTATGGTTCAGATTAATCCCCCAAATTGTTGATGTATCATTTTGGATTATTAATCACTTGTCTCCTATCCAGAACATTCAAATCTATTCATAATTAATTTGTTACGTGTTTATGCGGATTGTTATCATCATATAAAAAGTCGACTTGAGAAGAATGAGGACTCCGACACCTCTTGTTCTTCTTCTTCTTTTCATTCTTTGTCGTCGTCTTCGTGTACTTCTTCTCCTTCTGCTGCTGCTGTAGCTGTCGGTTCTCGAATGACTGGTATTGATATGCCTCCAGTTCTTCGTGGTTTAACTGATATTTATCGTGAATCAGTTGAAGAATTATCAGAAAGGAATAAAGCAGAGAGGGGTGAAGACCGTACATATTTAGATGATCTAAATGACGGCGATGATGGTGATGATGGTGATTGTTCCAGCACTGCTATTGATAGTATGAAAACTGTTTGTTCAGCAATTGTTGAGATATTAAAGAATTTAGTGCGGTAAGTGATATTATTTATTGGCTCTTATTTGCTTTGTTGTTTTCTAACAAAGACGTATTTTGTTTTATGATGGATACTGGAGTGTTTACATGGTTATAAGATGAGGAGGCCTGGAATTGTAGAGAGGAGTAGTGACCATCGACGTCCATCACAAACACTCACGGACGACATCATTAGCTTGGGCTAGGCCCTTTAATGTATGACGAATTGGCTGACCATTGGATTCCGTCTTTGTGAATGAATGATTGATTGTCTTGCCTTGCCTTGTAACTTGTAAGTCTTGTGTTATGGGTGCGTACTGCCTCAAACTAGGAGGACAAGGCAGCTGTCCTACACTCCATGGTTTTCAGTGGTCCTCTGATTATTGTCATTTTGTGGTCTAAGTTGAAGTTGGCAGGAACCCCTGGATCAAGGTTTTGTGTTTGTTAGCATTCGTAAGTCAACAAAGGTAATCTCGTGAACTGATGTGTTAACTCGAAGCTGCAGTAGGTAGTGCTGCAGTTAGGGATGTTTTCAGTCAACTGACGAGTACCAGTAAGCACGAAACGTGGAACTTCCTGCTGACCACTTCCAACCATTTAATTAGCAGTAATGTGGATGTGTACCGCGATGGCGAATCTCCTGTTTCTGTGTGACTTTTTTGTGCTGTGCTCGACAAATATGCCGAAGGAAACGGAGATGGAGACCGTTGAATGACATTGTGTTCCAGGTCCTAGAGTGGAACCCTAGTGGAAAATGGCGGCTTGGGCATCCGATGGTGACATGGAGATCGTGTGAGGATGAGGTGAGAGGTTATGGAAAATCGTGGAACCGGTTAAAAGAACCAAAGAGAAGAGGAAAAGTGGAGGTGTGCTGTTAAAGCCCCATGTTCCACCCTCAACTCAATGAAATAATAATATTAACATTGAAAACATGACTATGGTAGTATTCACTGAGTCACTACTGAGAAGAGCTAAACGCTCGGCAGTGATTACGCCTCGGTGACCCACTCAGTGGCATAGGTTTTGATTATCTCAGAAACTCCTATCCTCACTGTTCAGAGTGACACTCCTTCCAATATCTTATAAAATTGTAGAAATAATATTGGTGGTAATGATGTTCAGCTGTCTTTGAGTGTAGACGTTCGCGTTTTGTTTGGTATAGTGGTAGTGGTGTGTAATATTGAGGTTATGTGTAGAGTTAGGTGATGAGGGATAGTCAGTCGGTGGGAAAAGTTATGAAGCTGCATTGACTTGACTATGATGACTGATAGGTTTTAATGCATATTGAGTTATCGCCTTCCTCGATGAACAACATAAAACTACTTTGTAAAACAGTTAACGGTGACTAAATCAAGACATTTTCATATTCCATGAAGTTGCGTTCACCAAGATACGATGTAAACTGATGAAGTCTTTGACTGTTCGTTTGAGTTGGTCACATAGAGAGAGTTGTAGCAGACTTCTTGTTTGACTTGAGAGTGTTGGGTGATATGGCTCAAAATCGTTGCTCGTAGCGCAGATTCATTCACCCGTGGTAATCTCCCAGACGTATCAAAGCCTCATGATTCTTTGTGTGCTAATTCTCTCTTCCGTACATTTTCGTTCCTTACAGGTCTTCGGAATTGTTTTGTCAATCACTGCCTGCTATATAATATGCAGTGACTTGTTCTGCTGTACTTCTGTGCAAAGTTCTATGTTGAAAACTGAGTCACTGAGTATCTGGGATAGAATATAGAATAATCACATTTGCACATATGATTTGGAGACAAAATAGAATTTGATCTATGTCATTCTAGTAGTGAGTGACCTTAGGAGTGAGTGATTAAGTGCTAGACTTTCGACCAGATAAGAGTTGTACTTCGCCTCTTACGGTTTGGGCAATCAAGTAGTACTGTGATCGGTTCACATACAATAAGTATATGACCGATTTCCGTAATGGATTACAACGTGCGTCTACGTGTGTGTTTGTTTACTGAGGTACATCTACCTCAATGGTTGACAGAAATAAAGTTAAAAAAATATAACGTCACAAAAGATTCCTGAATAGCTTAGAACAGTTTGTGGACAAAGTTTGTCTCAGAGTGAGTTGGTTGGCTTTAATGTCATCCTACTTCCAGCCTCTGAGATGTTTCTTCCCTGTATGTGGTAGTAGTGTGGAAGCGCTTTGAGAGTTACCTATTATTGATATTTTATTCATTATTTACACAACTACTTCCTTTGTTTTTCTTCTGGGTCTCAATACATCATTGATTGAATTCTTGGTGGTGGTGGTGGGGGGTGGTTAGTTCTATTCATTAGTAATATTTTCCTTATTTGTTCGATTACATTACTTACATTTACTGATTGAACTCCTGGCTCAATTGCATCGACGGAAATTCAGCAAAACCCTACCTATACGAAATTTAGGTAGGATTAAATAACAGTCTAAGTAGTGATTAGGATATGATGATTCGTTTTTAGAAATGTTAATATCTCTAAGCTTCCATCTGGGTATTTGTCTAGTTTTACAGCCTCATATAGTTAGTTCACCTTGTGCACCTATTAGCTCGAGGGTGAACTGGATCTCATCTACTATTGAGTTTATGTGTGATGCAACACCTAGGCGGAAAATTGCAACAAAACGGTAGGTTATATGAAGCAAGTTAGCTGACAAGTCGTGTTCGAAGTACATTGATAGGAATTTAAGCAGTGTTAAATTGTACTCGAAATATCATTCACTTATTAATACGGTATCATCATTCTGTATGTATGTATGTATCTATGTGTGTGTGTACGGCCAAATTCTACTCTTAAACCTTTTCTTTTTTTGTTTTGTTTTCTGGTTTTATAGTTCCGGAAGAGCTTATTGTTTGGAACAAACACCTGATTTTTCATTTATTTCATTCACTGACCAACGGATAAGTGGACGTTTGTATCTTGTTCGTGATTATCTACTGGTACGATCTCATCGAGTTATAGCCAGTCAGATGGAACCGACTGCTGGAAGTGTTTTACCTCGTCTACCAAAAATGTTAAACTGTTTAGTAAATCTTACATCGGCAAAACATCATGAATTATTGAGTTGTAATGGTAATAATAATAATAATAATAGTGGTAGTGGGAGGAAGACAAAAAGTGGTCGTTGGGGTTCAACTCGTAAACCTTGGAGTTTATCATCATCACCATCACTATTAACCAATCATTACAAATACATCACATGGTGTCTTAGAAATAATCTCTGTGTTAAAAGTAAGAAATTGTAATAGGTTCTATGAGATTTTATTTATTAATTTATTTTTGCTTTAATTCCTTGTGGAATGTACGGCTTGGAGCTGTTTTTTGAAGTTTCGGGGACAGTTGTGTTTTTAGGTTCACAATGGATGCTAGATTTGAGTCGTATGTTCTCCTGCGAACATGGTCGTTTTCGTATCATCGTGCTCAACTTGTCACTTCCTGTCTGGTTGGTAGGTGGGTTTATTATTGACTAGTTGATCGGCTGCCATCGAAGGGGACAAGGTGTTGATGAGAGATTCTACAGTAGCCTGTTGTCTGAAGTGCTTTGATGATTCTCCAAGTACTGTGAGAACGTAGTTATCGAAAATACTGTTAAAATCAATGGAAGAGTAAATTTGTACGTAACAAAATGAAGTATATATAGTTTCGATTTGCTACTTTTCTGAGAAGAGAAGGCTGAGACTTGGCGAATTTGTATTGTATGTCAGCCGTATCCTCTTACCCTGTAGTTTTCCTACACCCTGTTTGATTATTGACAGACTGACATTGGAGTTTTCCACTGACGTAAATCAATTCAGTTTGATAAATTCCGTGTAAAATAAAATAACATTGTTGATGTGCACTAGTACAGTGATTGACATAAAGTATCTGGAACTGAGAGTAAAATATAAGAAAGACGACCAGTAAAGAGCTAGTTTGTCGTAATGTGTATTCACTTATCAATTGATGTTCGTAGGCTGTTGTGTCTCACTCAACTTTTCACTTCATCTTCAATCATTGCAGTGTACCAGCTGAGGGAGGGGTTCATGTGACAGGCGAAATGATTCACAATGGAAAGTTTTGTGGGATGAAGACGATGATATTGGTGATTGTAGTGGAAGACTTGGTAGTGCGACAGACAGTGGGGAGTGAGATGGGAATATGTTTAACTGACGGGAACTCCAAGAAGGTGTGAACTTCGTGGGTGATTTATGCCTAATGTCGCTGAAAGGCGAAAATCTACAGGCGAAAGGTAAGTAGTTAGCCGAAGAGGCAATGGAGGCCAGGAGTTCAGGTAAACATGGAGGGGACAGGTGGTTAAGATGCGTAAACAACAACAACAACAGCATTAATAGCAAGAAGCACCAATTATCATCGGTGGAGCAAATCTCAGGGAAGTCATCTTTCAACCTACTTGGGCAATATGGTTCCATTTATAAGGTCAGGAAAGGAAGATGCACCTGAATTATACTCTGAACTATGTGTCATGGTCTGCGACAATTAGTGATAGGACCCAGCATAAAATTGTATATAATCCTTTCTGACGAATCGTGTGATTTATCATGTGATGGAGTTACTATGTGAATATATCGTTTCTCAAGCATATTGTGATTTAGTGTGTGACCAATTCATCTTCTTTTGTCTCACCTTGATCTTTGTCTCATCGCCAACCAATGAGAATAGACATTTACAGCGAATGAGAACAATACATTCCCACCACGATTGTGAGCCGACTTTATTATGGTTAAGAAAATGTCTAAGTATCATGTGTTGTTTCTTAAACTGTATAGTACAGTATAACGCAATATCTTATAGGCATAGGTCAGTCTCTGTCTTGTGATATTTTTGTGGTTGAGTGAATTGGAAGGCAAAACGGAAAAATAGACGTATTAGCGTACCAATCGAGTTCATCACGGTTATAGTAATTAACAGGCGCAGGTAAAGCAAGGTAGCAACAGAGTTTATTCAGTTCAGTTGTGTTCAGAGTTGAGTTATAACAAATTGACAGTGGAGTTATACCATTCAGCACGGAAAATATAGTCCGGATTATTCATAGGTATGTCAAGTCAATGCTTCCTTATGATTCAGAAACTTGACGCACGTGTGCGGACTAGAAACAATAAGCAACAACCGACTCTCTAAGACAAAGAATCAGCTGACAACTTGTTGCCCAACTTGGTTCGTGGTCTGATGCCAACCAGGTTTTGGTTTGAACACCCGTAACTGTTTTCAACATGATTATATGTCGACTAATATTGCTGGTTTTGAGGATGGCGGAGAGTCGATATGCAGAACTCTTGTCTTAGCCCCATCTCAATCGATGCAGCACCACAGCCGCATCGATCGACTCTCAATCGTCATACTTTTTATATGAGTATTGATTATACGATTGATGTGTTCAGTTAAGCTGAAGTAGGCGGGAAGGCGTTGCAACGCGTTATCCATTAAGCTGAAAGACAAGCGCTTATGCCAGTAATCAACACCACAGTAAACTGATATTTGCTGTCTAAGTGTAACAGTAGATGACAAGAGACTTGGTTGGTAAAGGGATATTTATTTGGAATTTGGTATCGCTACATACCGAAATTATGTTCACTTTAACTTCAGATCACCATTTGCACAGATCTTCTGTGTTGTGCTACTTTTGTCTTTCATATTGTGTATCTTCGTGTTCCTTTCATGTCTCCCATATTTCTCCGAAACGCTGAGTCATGTGCTTTCTCTGGCATGGAATGTATCTCCCTGCTGTTTGATGTTCTTCATACCGCTGAACACCTCGTTATATGCATACTACTGATAAATCTAATCAGTAGTACGCGCCACATTAGTATATGTTCTCTAGTTATCTATGTATTTGTTGTTTTTGTCTGGAATCTTTCCATTATTTTAGGGTATGCTTTCTGGTACGTTGCAACTGTGGATATCACGGAAACTGAAGCACCACAACTGTAAGTTGTTTATAAAAGGATAATAATAGAAACAGCAAAATTCACAAATACGATTCTCAGATTGAATGCTACTGATTTTGTTGTTGTGTTCTCTTTTGGTTGAATAATTAAAATGAAATTCTAGACAAAACTTTACCAGAATGAAGCTTTACCAGGTGTTGGTGTTGCAGGGATTTGATTGGTTCCAAGTTAGATTGTGGATTGACATGAGTTAGGGAAGCATTGAAAACCAGCAGGGAATATTGAACGGTTATTTCGTACTCCCCCAGTCTAAGAGTTTTCGGCAGTACTCGTCCATGACCTCACAGAAAATCAAACTCAGGATATTCAAGTTATGAGACGAGCCCGTTGGTCCGTTCACAGACATGAGGACACGACCCAGTCGACAATGAATTCCAATGTGTGCCAGCACGTGATATCTAACGTCATCACTAGCCAGCCAATAATGTCATCGGTGAGTGTTTGTACTCATGCCTAACATATCAGACCCGACTGATCACAACCTTTCACTAGAACTTCAGGTGACTTCATCGTGTCTACAGTCACTGGTGAGCATCGGATTAATTTTTGGTGTTGGTTTTGTAGGGATTTGATTGGTTCCAAGTTAGTTCGTAGATTGATGACATCAGTTGGAAAACTATTGAAAATTTGAAGGAAGTCATTGAGTTCGATTATTTGCTGTGGAATCATGGGTGAGTACTGATGACGAGTCTCAGAGGAGAAAGAACAAACAAGTTTCCGGTACCTTTTGATGATTTCCAGTAGTTCTCTAACTAATAATAATATCATTTTGTGATCTGGTCTGAAGTAATAAAAGTAATCTTTGATGATACCAATGGGTGGGGCTGGATGGAATAGGTTTGAGACTTTATCTGTTGCGTTACGCTTTTGATCCTAATTACAGCGAACAGACTAACGAACATGGTTTCGTATTATTATTATTATTATGAACGTTAATACTACTATCATAGTTATTATTATGTTTATGGTGGCTACCTTTGGTTGGCTTCTTCATGAATTAATCGATTTGAATTAGCCTTTTCAACAACCGATATCAGTTGGGAAATCAATCGGAACAAGGAAACAGCTGAATGGTCTATTCGTTCTAGTTTCTGTCTCTTCAACATTTTGCGTCCATGATCCAACTAGGGATAGTGGCTGAGAGAAGTTTAATGTCCAAGCCAGGTGAGCCACTAGTTAACCATTCAACCAATAGTGGCAAGTGGTATGATCGGTGGGTGCATGGCTGAAGAAAGTGGTTGCTGGTTTTCAATAGCCCTCTCTCTCTCTCTCTCACTGATATGTTAATTCGTCATTAAACTTGTCATATGATTGTCGTGTTACATGTGTATGATGGTTTTCCTTTTGTTATCTTTTTTTCTAATTTCTTTCTAGCTTGATACCACTTCTATTGCCACATGCTAAATTATTAGCTGAAGATCATAGTTTCGCCTTCTTATTGATCCTACGTCTTGATCGTGTTCGTAGAGCTTTGTTACCGGAGAAGGAATATTTCACGGTATGCTGTCTTCAACTGTTTGTTTTGTTATTGATATTGTTTTACTTTTTTGTGTGATAATGATGAATGGCAAGTTTTGACAACTGTGATTAGTGAGTGAGTGTCCTGCTGGTACTTCACGAAATGGTCTATAAAACTGTAATGTTATCTGCTGTTGGTTGTAGTGATGGTGGTGATGATGTGGGGGGGGTTGGGGAAAAATCTCTTTCATCAGTGTAATCCACTCTCAGCGTTGTTTCAGCTACAGACAGGTGTGTCGACACGGATGATGACTTGGGAGTTAGTATGTGAGATTGAGACGGCATGATATGGGCGTTGATGGCTCTGAAGTGAGTATGGAGATCTGGTCCACAAGATCTCAAATTGTAACTTTTAGTATCAACTCAGTGCATATATATGATTCGGTGACACGGCGCAAGTGTCATTGAAGGTATTTCCAATAAGGTAAGGTGCTGCAGACTTTCGTGATCATCTGTTTTCTCTCGATACTGGAGACTAGATGACTCGAAGAAGAAGAACTTAAGTGATGTGGAACTCTGGCAGGTAGAGAACCAGTCAACAACTTATTGCCCATTCAGTGAATATACAAAGAGAAATGGAGATGGATTGAAAGTTCGCTAAGAATACCGTTGAGGGATATCATACACTATCACACTAGGCAGGTTGTCTAGTGGAATTCGAATGAGGGGGAAAATGGTGCGTTGAGTCAAGGATTGTCTGAGGATTATATTGACGTGGGGATGAGTGTGAAGTGGAGAAAATGGAAGCTAGTCGGTAGTATTGTCATGTTTATCTCCTCCATATGACAGCTCGTTTATAAGATGTTACACCAGTTGCATGAATTCTAGTTGGATTCTGGTGATTAGTGAAATATTGTTTCTCGGCATTATCTTCATTGGCATACCTATGAGCAACATCACTTGATCGCAGGAGTTGAATGACACCTTCAGATCAAGAAATACGGAATTTATTTTTTTCATATTAGCATGAGTATGTTTGAGAACTTGTTGTGAGGGGTTAAGATATCATCAATCCACCCTCGTCCGTATCTGAAGTCCCGCTAGTTTTCAAAAGTGTGTTAGCCGTGAAGTGATGATTTATGCATGTGCTAACATCATAACTTTATTACACAGTTTAAATTCGTTTATTTATGGCCTAAATTTCTGACAGTGTATATACAATATACCACACATTTTGTCCAATAAAAGTTATTGTTATTATTACTATTGTGAGGGCCGTTGTTTTCCCCAGTCTGACTTTTGCGTCTATCTGAGTACGGCCAGATATTCTCGAGTAGTTAGTTGGTTATAGTATTATGTTCTGGAAGCTCATTCTAGTTAGGTTGTGCGGACACATCCCAGTAACACTTCGACGTAACAGTGTATTTGCCTACAGCGCCGCTTAGTTTTCGTATGACTAGGATCTTAGATATTACATTATTATTATTAATATTCTTTTGGGTTCCGAATGGAACATAGGACTTCAACAACACATCTCGACTTTCTTCTACTTTCTGCTGTCCTCTTCAGCTGGCTGTACGATTTACTAAACTCGCTCACCTCTTCCTTGCGCCGCGATCTCCTTTGTCACTCTAGGATGACCCAATCATCGCTTCCCATTGGGATTCCACTCGGGCGATGTCGTGCGACGGTCTTCTCATTATGTGCCCGATACATCTGCACTTTCCTCAACAATTTGTTGAAAAATAGGCTCTTGGTTGGTTTCTTCTCAGCCAGAGTTTCTTGCTGCTAATTCTTTCTGACCGGCCAGCGAAGCGGGCAGCTGTTGATGAGGCTGCAATTGGCTGTTGGAAATTCCTTTGAAACACTGGCCTGGTGTCTGATCTGTATAGAGCTGACTGACTCACTGACTTGACATTTGTGTTGAATAGAATCCGAATCTTGTTCTTTGTGATGCTGAGGTGGAGAGCACAAGATTTTCAAACTGGTTTCAGGTTGATAAAGGCGTGCGTATCTGGTGTTTCCGATTCTGGCTGGCTGGTAGTTAGCTTTGACATCTGCATCCGTTCCGAATTCCTGTGGTTTAAACGGTGCTTCCTAGCCGGATGAGTGATTTGTGCTGGTTGTTGTCGTTGTTGCGGTTCATTAGTTATCATCTTCATCTCATCTCCGTCTTCTCTATGCTCACCTGCAGTCCTGTCTTCGCTGCCAGCCTGTTCACAGCCATTTGTTGGTTTTCGCTTGTGAGTCTCCGAGTTTGTTTGACATTAAACACAAATCACCCATGGTGGATTCGCTTCCTGTATTGTCTTCTGCCAGTTTATTTGGCATTTATATCGCTCCGTAATATTTCGATGTCTCCATTCGGGATTTCGTCCATTACTTTTTGCAGTTGTCTACAGAAATCTTGTTTCTTCTTCTTCTCTTTTTCTGTGTTGTTTGTAGATGCGTAGAATTGGCTGATTGTGACTTCCTTTCCGTTCTTTTGAGTTGAATTTTGAATATATGTTAATATGTTAAATATATGTATGCATACCTTTACGCACTCAAGACTGTCTCCCTTCCCTCTCTGCGTGTTCAATTACTCCAATATTTGAATGATTCGTCGGACGCCACTACCATAGGAGTCGTGATAGAGATGTTAATCCCCAGCGCTGCGTCATTGGTTAAGCATAAATCCACTTTTACCACCCAGGGTAGGAAACGGTTACGGGTATGGTAGTCGTTGGAAGGACATTTGTAGTACATATTGAAACCACAAAAGCCAGTGTTCAAAGATTATATTTTACTTATTGTAAGATTATTTCCACTGTGCCGATGGATGTCAGATTTACGTACATGGCACCACAAAATGGAAGGTGATCGAATTCGCGGGGTCGTTGCATCATTTCAGATAGGAGAGTCGAAGTTCCATAGGGGCTAAGCAAGATCGAGGATATCGAAGCATTGTAAACTCGACATTTTATTGGTCAAGCTAACATAGGGGCGACATCAGACGTTGTCGTAGGTTACTTGTACTTGTAAAGTAAGAGATGTCATTCGTCAGCCTGGATACATGGACTTATTGACTACTTTTAGCCTACAGCCTGCGAGTGTTAATTCAGACACAAGTCTCTGCCAAACTGGCAGGAATACTTTGTACTTTAAAGGAGCGGAGCGTACACAACACGTACAGACAGTGACGACCAACTGAGTTGATACAATCTGGACAGCCTGTATGTGTGTACAGTAAGAGTATATCGAATAAACATGTACTTGAAGACGGAAGGTTCTTCAGACAGCAGATCTACACTCTCACTACTGCTATTGTCGTCGTCGTATGATGGGCAGTTGTGAAGTCAGCGAAAATGGTGATAGCAGAGAGTCGTTCTGGACTGGATGGCGATATGCCCCGATGAGGCCGTGCCACTCAAAACTCAAGAAATAAGTAGTAGTTGTATGAGTAGTAATAACAGTATGTTGATGTTACTCGCAGTGTTTACATTTGATCACTTTATTTTCTGTTTTGTGAATGCCTTTTCAGCTTTTTCATCGTGTATTCAAATATTTGTCATTAGAGAGTAAATATGAACTGCTGAGGTGTATTCAAGAGAAGAAAAATTCTGTTTACGAAACCCCACTATCAAAATCAAATGCTTGTTTTCAGTCATCTATTTGTCCATTATTCAATCGTTTAGCCTCCTTTGATAGTAATGCTGACACTGTTGGTCAACTGATAAACAATCGATATTGACTGATTTTACCAAGGAGGTAAGCTGTTTTTTATGTTACACTGGAAAGTCTTTCCCCATTTATGATTGACAGACGATTTTCATTCATTTGATGATAGAGCCATCTAGGCGTCATTGTATTTGGCGTCAGGTGTGTGTATTTTGAAGAATCGATAGGGTTAGAATGAATGAGTCCATTGAAGTCCGGTTGAATTGACTGACGTTGTAATCTAAAGCTTATTGGATAGGATGTCCGTTGAAGAGATGGTATGTACACTCCTGAAGAGTACTAAACAAGGAGGACGAAAAGCCGTAATCTGAGTAAAATTGTATAGTCAGTCATTGGCAGATATGTTATGTCATCTGGCTGAAGGCAATCGTCAGTGAAACGTTATAGCTAAGTTTCGTGGTTATTGATGCACACTCATCATCAAGGTGTAACCGCTACACTCTTGTAGTGGAGGGGTCTATCTTGAAGTTTGAATAGTAGCTCTGTAGTATCACCTCTTTGTCTACACACGCTGGATGACGCGTGTTGTAATATGAGAGGGATGAACTGTCAGTCCTTTCCTGGTTCCAAATACACCCCTAGTCGATGTGTACAATAAGTACGTAGTCTGGGAACAAAACGTCTTACCACTTGTCTCCAACTATTTGATAATAATTCGGATAGAGGAATTGTTCCACATAAAAGTAGATAAGTGACATGTTATAGCTGATCATATTAGGATATGTAATGTAAGTGTTACTCAACGTTGACCGATCTGTTGTTTCTCATATGGCACGGTTGGTAGAATGCTCGTCAATCATGCATTTATGGTTTCGGACCTGACTTGTTTTCTAGCTCTTCAGCATACAGGAGCGTTCTAATACCAGGGACCTAGAAAACGCCAAATTTGGAATCAGATCATTAGCTAGTCTTTATTTTTATCCATCTGTCCTCAACTCATCTGCCTGTTTTCTTCTCTCATCGTATCCAGTTTCTTTCAGATTGTGAAGTAGTACTGTTCACACATCCAGTACACTTTTTTACTGAGTTAATTCAATTTCCAGTTAGACAACAACTTCCTCATTTACAGACTGTTGTTCAACAGGTGAGTCAGTCGACTTTTCTCCCCTCTCTTTTGTGATTATAAAATGATTGTATTAATTTATTTGTTAATATACTCCTTAACAATCAGTGTTAGATGACGAAGTGATTTCATTTGGTAAGTGCTTTGAAAACCCCAGCAGGGTGTATAGGACAGCTGTTGTGTCCCTAGTTTTTGGGACTCTTCGCCAACACGCTTCTTTTTCCACCTAGGGGAGGCTAGGAAACTGTGAACAGTGTAGTATAAGAGCCTCTGGGATAGCATTCGTAGTACAATATCCAAGCCAGAAAAATCTGTGTTTCAAGATTGTATCACTTATTGCAGGGTATTATTGAATGGAAGAAGACAGCGAAATTGTTTAATTTGTCGAAATGAAATACGAAATGACACTGAAATCTTAGTTTGTAAAAGGTGTTCGGATTCTATCGCATTTTGTCTTTTGTCTTTATTTTCTAGTTGCATTTCTGCTTAACATTTCCGTTCACTTCTCTCTTCACCTTTGTGCAACTTGATCTATCATTCTGCGATTCAAGATTCCTACAGAGATATCACCTAGTAGCATTTTTTCTTCATGGCGTTCTAAAAAGAGACATGGGGGGGGAGGAATCGAGCTTTTTGAAGTTTTCCAGTAGTGGTGGTGGTTTCACCAGAGCCAATAAAGCTCTATGCCTTGCCTTACCTTCCTTTCCTTTTCTGCAGGCTTACTACCTGCCGACTTTTTTACGAACTAGGTAAAGTTTAACAGTGCGTCAGCCTTCCGGTCATGTAACCCGGACCTCATACACTGGCGGCGTTTACCATTGAACCATTGATGCAGTCATACTACTAATACGACTCCATCTAACAAAAATCTTCTCCCCTTTTTCCCTCCTAGCTGATCGATGAATTATCTTACGCGCTCCCAGTACCTACAGATTTTTCTCCAGGGGAAACAAAAGTATTGGATAAATCAGGCAGTGAAAGAAAGAGCGAAGCAATTCCTGGACAAGATCACCACCACCATCATCAACAACATCAACAACTGAAACAATCCATTCATAGTACAATCTTTCAAGAACTTATTCTTGTTGATTGGTCAAATCGTCCATGCTACAGTAATATTTCATTATTCGGTGAAGAAGACATATATTCTGAGATAGATAAGGTTAATTTATTGAATGTGAAATTCAATTTTAACGATGACAAATGTCTGCTGGACCAATCTGATGAGTCAAATAATAAATTATCGAGGAATCTAATCTTGGATACTCTAGTTCATCTGTTTAAGAAAGTGAGTTTTGGAAATCTAGTTTCTGGAAAACTGCTTGATTTCAGTGTGAATTTGTATTTGTTCATTGTCTGATTTGTTCTCCTCGGCTGCTTCTAATACAGATGCTTCGACGATGTATGAAGATGGGAACGATGTTATTTGACTGATGGTAGCTAGCAGTGAGATGCAGGATGCGTATTTCGACCTACTAGACTGAGTGAGATGGATGCACGCCCAACCTGAATGAAGAATTGGTTCCCTTTCAGGATTCGAACCCAGTATGCATGGTTCTATAAGGCAAAGAGTTAATGCATAAGAGGTGGCTCTCGTGGTCTGGTGGCCTAGCTGCGTTTCACAGAATGGTCGCTAGATTCTAGTCTTAATGAAAACATCACTCACTAAGGATGGAGTTGCATTCAGCTGACGAGTCCCAAATGGGATGCCGTTCGTTTGATGGATTCCGCTGCTAGCAGTCACTACTAACCAGTCATCTTGGGCTAGTGTCAGTCACTGGTTATTCCAGTTTGTGATGGACTGACTTTTGTTCACCGTGTAGCAGATAGAATATGTACATAGAGAAGAATGAAAATCTGATTGATATGAGAGAATATGATGGGTGAATACATGCGAGCCAGTGAGAATGGTTTTGAGTCATATCAACACGGATCTGAAGTCATTGATTCTCATCGTCCTGAGGACCCCAACGAGCTAGCCGGAGAGACTATACACTCTCCTGTATGACTGACTGAAACTAACAGACAGACACTTCATGGACTCATTACACTGTTTACTTTAATCCCGCCTCACACTTTGTCAACCTGATCCTGTGTCAGCTAACATCGCTCGAGGAAAGCAGTGACTTGACACACGCCTTAACCATTTCAGTCGGTGCAGTTTCACTACCACATTGATTGACTTTCCCTTTTTACCCAGCAGTTTATGCCTAATCTCAATATTACTCACTACAGTATACCACTTAACACGACGGGTAGAATTACAAAGCTTACCGTCAAATATAGAAACTCTGTAGGTTATGGAAATAGTATGACTTCATTCAAACAAATAGAGGATTTATCCTTTGCGACATGGTGCATCTGATGTCAATGGAAACTACTTTGACTAATATTTGACATGCTGTATGTGATGAAGTCAGATTTATCTCCCTCGTCTTCCAGTGGGAGATGTGTATATATATTTGGAGGAATCTGAAAGAAACAACCTCCTTTACCTACCTGGGAAGCATCGTTTCAACTACAGGCGGAACTAATGAGGATATCAAAGCCAGAATCGGAAAAGCAAGACAGGCTTTCATTACTCTTATGTCTGTGTGGACGTCAACATCACTCAGCATCCGGATTTTCAACTCGAATGTGAAGTCAGTGCTGCTTAACAAACGGATCAGAGACTTGGCCAGCGCGTCATAAAGAGCATCTCAAACAAACTACAGACCTTCATTAACAGTTGTCTTCGCTCAATACTCAAGATCAGATGGCTGACCAGAAAAGATCAGCAACAGGGATCTCTGGCAATGAGCGAACCAACCAGGAACCATTGTGCAACGAATAGACAGGAAGAAATGGAGATGGATTGGCTGGCCATACGCTGAGGAAACCATCAAGTGACATCACTAGACAAGCCATCGCTCGAGTGGAACCCGATTGAAAGGGAAGCGGCGAGTTGGTCGTCAGTGTAAGGGTGACTTGGAGGAAGTCATGTGAAGAGGGGATGAAAGCTGTGGGCAGACTTGGAGCGGGGTGAAAAAGTTGGTAGAAAAACGAAGGCAATGGAGACGCGCAGCTGAAGCCCTATGTTCCTCTAGGAATTAAAGGACATAATAATAATACATTGGTTGGCAACAGGTTGTAGTTGTCTGGTACGCTTCCAGAGTTTCTTGATTGCAGAGTGTTATGAATGCCTGCCTATCCTGCTTTTTGGCGTCTAAATTTGATTGACTTTATTATTGTCATACATAATACGGCACGTATGTCCTGCTAATCCACTTGTCAAAAACTAATCTGTCGTATATTTTCTCTGCTTTTCCCCTTATTATTTCTTCCTATACAGCCGGATTGTATCATTCAAATTAACACAATTTTACAAGTATTTCAAAGTTATTTGAAAGATAATTTACAGTCACTAATTTATAAACATTCGAATATTGAACAGTCAACGCCAATAACAACAACAACAGCGCCAACAACATCGACTCTTAAAGCGGGGAATAAATCTCCTACACTTCAAAGTATGCATGTTCGGGGATTTATAGATATGCTGTATCGTTTAATAAAAGCAGCTTCATCTGGTCATGAACTTCTTTTATTGTTAAACAAAATTAATATCTGTGAATTACTGAAACAATTTATGCAATTGTTTAATATCCTATTCTTAAATCAATTTAATAATGAATTCACTATTACTCCTACTACTGCTACCACCGTCACCATGACCACCACTCCTGAGAGTCAGTCAACTTGTGCTTCGTCTGTATTCATTCCCCTACCTGACCTGGATGACGTTGATGATTATGAAGAATATTTTGAATACCTGATCATAAGTGAAGTAGATGTCATGTTGTTGGAATTGATTGCTCACTGTTTACAACTATCTCTATCCTCTTGTCCGTGTAATCGTCAAACAGAAGGTGATGGGGAAAGAGAAGATCAAATCAGCTGTCATATCAATAATACGCTACGTTTACTGCATACATTTAAAAATGATATCGTCAATTCGAAAAGTACACGTGATTGGTGTAAACAAAAGTGGTCGTACTTATTCAACAGTTCAATATTTGCCTCAATGACTGCGTTGAAATTAAAACAGCATAAGTGTTGTTTGAAAAGCATCAATGTCTTAAAGGATGAAGTGTTTAAATTATCTATTGAAATGTCTAGTCAAACATTGAATACATTGACACAATTGATGGACATTGATGTCTTTTATCGAAGGTGAGCGTTTTTGGCCGCATTGTTTTCTGCTTTACTACTTATTTGTTTGTTTTAGTTGAAGTTTCAGTAGCTGTGGTGGCACGGTAGTCTTAGCCTTCCTTTCTTCTGGGCTTACTATGGGGTTAGTTAACTGTGAGCGCGTGGTTTAGAAGTAGTTTGTCGGTGACCAGTGCAACGAATCCTGATGTTTGTATCATAGGATTAAAAATGTCGAGATGGTTAAGGGTGCACATATATCTGCTGTAGATCTTTTTCGTTTTGATTTATATCTTGGTCGTAATCTTTGCTGACACATACACACGCACTTATTGTCTGTCTGTCTGTCTGTTTTCGACATAGAACTTTGCACAAATGTGCGGAAGTTCAAGTCGCCACATTCCGTGTAGCACGCGAAGCATGAGAAGAAAGTACAAGAAAAGCATAATAGGAACAGTGAGCAGAGGTGTGAGACAAAGGAGTAATAAAGAAATACAAAACAATTTCATTGAAGATCATAAGTCACAGGGAGTGGATGCATCTGCGCCACTGAGAACGATTTTGAGCCATGTCACCAATTGTTTCCAACCATAGATTTTTGCCGTCCCGAGGACCCCAGCCTGGAAGTCTACACCTTCCTACGTGGCTTAGACCAACTGTTGTGGATTTCATTGACTGATGCCAAGTTTTTGTTTGACCGCCGCTAGCTTTTTTCCAGCCTGACCCTATATCCGCTAACATAGCTCGTCGAGGGAGGCGATGGCTTGGCATACGTAACACATGTCCTAACCATCTCAGTCTTTGTAGCTTCACGACTTCGTCGATTGATTTCCCCTGTTTACCTAGAACTCTACGCCTAACCTCAATGTTGCTCACCTTATTATGCCACTTTACACGGGAAATAGAACGCAGGCACCTATGATCAAAGGCAGCTAGTCTTTTCATGTCTTCCACTCTCAGTGGCCAGGTCTCACAACCATAAAGGAGGACGGAGCGGACTGATGAGCAGTACACCCGCCCTTTGGTCGATAGTCGAACATCTCGTCTACGCCAGAGTCGGTGTAAACTAACAAATGCGAAACGAGCCCCTTGTATTCGTGCTGAGATTTCGTCAGAGATCAACCCGTTGGGGCTGATGGTACTTCCCAAATAAGTGAAGCGGTCAACGTGCTCTACCACTTCACTTCCTATTTTTAAACTAGGCGTCGATGTAGTCCAGTCCTGTAACATCATCTTGCATTTGGCGGGAGCGAATCGCATGCCAAACATTCGTAGATTGCTGTTCAAGGTGTTTAGAAGACTCTGCATTTTGTCAGCGTCTTCGCCTAGAAGGACTATATCGTCTGCATATTCCAAGTCAACGAGATTATTCCCAGGTAGCAAGTCAATCCCTGAATCGCTGAAGTCACCTAGGGTTAAGTCCATTAACACATCTATGATGAAGTTGAATAGAAAAGGAGATAATGGGCATCCTTGACGGACACCACTGGTCGTCATCAGTTCAGATGACAGCTCGCCGTAAGCCCTCACCTGGCTGTATGAGTACGAATAGAGTGCCTTAATCAGTGCAATATATTTTCTTGGAATTCCCTTTACAGCCAAGCATCTCCAGAGAACTTCCCGATCGACAGAGTCGAATGCTGCCTTTTAGGTCAAGAAATATAATGACTGTTGGACGCCGGTAGGAATGCCTATGTTCTAGAATCTGTCGGAGGGTGAAGATATGATCAATACACCCTCTTCCTGGTCTAAAGCCTGCCTGGCTCTCTCGTGTTTGTGCTTCCCGAGCACCACTCAGTCTACGCATGATTATTGAGCCTAAGACTTTAGATACTATATTAGTCAAGCTAATCCCTCTGTGATTATCACAGGAAGACTTGTCTCCCTTCTTGTATATGGGGATAATCAGTGACTTACACCAACCCGATGGGACTTCTTCTGATTCCCAAACGCTGCCTAGTACCTCAGTTAATCCGGACAGTAAGCTGTCTCCACCGTACTTAAATACCTCTGGCGTCATTCCATCAGGTCCCGCTGCTTTGCCTAGTTTCAGATTGGTGACAGCTTTAGTAACCTCAGCTGTCACCTTATTAGGAAAGT